ATGTGCTATTGAATTCTCTTTTCTAGTGTTTTGTTTAGGATTTATGTATCACTATTCATCAGGGCTTTTGGTCTATAATTTTCTCATAGTGTTTAGTTTCAGTATCAGGGTAATGCTGGCCTCATGGAATGAATTTTGATGTTGTTACTTCCTCTACAACTTTTTGGAAGAGTTTGAAGAGGATTACTTTAATTCTTCTTTTAATGCTTAGTAGAACTCGCTAATGAAGCCACATGTTCCTGGGCTTTTCTTTGTTAGGAGGTTTTTGATTACTGATTCAATTTTCTTACTGATTTTTGGTCTGTTTAGATTTTGTTTCTTCATGATTCAATCTTGATAGGTTGTATGTTTCTAGGAATTTGTCCATTTCATCAAGGTGATCCCATTTGTTGTCATACAACAGTTTTATGGTACTCTCTGATAAACCTTTTTATTTCTATAAAATTGGCTGTCATGTCCATCACTCATCATATTTTTATATTTAGCCTATCCAGTGCTTGCCCAAGTTGAGATACTTGGAAACCATTTATTGAACTAAATGTAAAAGAGAAAAGCACTAGATCTTTCCAACCATGTGGACAACTTATCGTGGGTAACTTCACTGAGAAAGGATGGGCCTGGAAAAGCAAGGCCTTCAGGTCAGAACTTGGGCCATCAAGACGGGGTTCCCAAGTCTGACCCTGAATGCTAGGTGATGATACCCTGTGAGACGTGATGGAGTCTTCAGGCATGAAATGGATCAGGGATTCATGGTGGTCTTGCCCATTATGTGGCTCAGAGCTTGTAGAGTGAGCTTAACCTGGTTATGGGAGCCAGCAGATCTAGCAGGCTTCCTGAGCCCAGCTCAGGCAGCTCTTTTCACACTGCTAAAGAGACCATGAGAGGTGTTGTGTAGTAATCCACATGGGAGGTTGTCTGACAGGGACAAAGCCTGTCTGTCTCTATGCTCTAGAAGAAGCAGAGTCCAGGCTAAGAGTCACTTAGTGGGTTCCTTAAGGACAGAGCAGGGCACTCTCACTTCCTGCCCTTTCATAGTTATGATCAGGAAGAGCTATAGAGAACCATAGGTAGTGCATATATGTGGAGAAGGCATGGCCAACTTTTGTCTCACAGTTGGTCTTACTCTACCAGCTTTGAGCCTGCTTTCACAGAAGCAACTCCATAACCTGAAGGGGCATGCCTTATCCCCTGCTACAGACAGCCAAAGTTGGCAGGCTGTTGTTTTTATGTAAAGAGCTATTCGACTTGCCCAGCATGATTTCAGACTCTCATTTGCAGCCCTGCTATTCCCACCTACCCTACCCTACCAAGAATCTCTCTTTACCATCTGCATTAGCTCACTTTTGCACATTCCCCACACATAGTGCAGCGCTTGGTGCTTCGCAGGTGTTCAATAGATAGGTGCTGGATTCCTTCTATTACAGTAGTCTTTCCACAGTGTCCTAGTTGAGAGAAGATAGAGAAGGGATGTGTTCTCTGCCACGAACATAGAGACCAAAGGGAAATGTGTGTGTCAATGAGTCTTTCCTCTGTTTCATTCTTCTCATTTTTATCCAACTACCCAGAGACCAGCATTCTCATTTGAGGTCTTTTGAGAAGCAAGCAAACACTGCAGATGATAGGCAGTGCTAGCTAGCAATTTTTTTCCCCTTCAAAGCAGGTTAGTAGGTTCAAATAAAATACACTGAAGAGGAATTACATGAAACCAAAACGGAAACTGTGAAGTGCAAGCTGATATTTTTAGAAGTTTGTGTAATGACAGGTCAGATTCCTGAGGATTAGTCAAAGTGGCAAATCTAACACCACTTATTCAAAAGAGGGTAAAAGATACAGGAGGCAATTATAGTTTAGCAGCAGTTGTGTGTGTAGCGGGGGATCAACTCTTCTTGAACTTACTGAGGGGACAGCTTGAAAAGTGTAATTTGAATATAGATAGCCAACCAGAAGGTTTCTATGAGGAGGGGTTTGGGAAGCTGGAGGAAAGGGAAAAGGAAAGGAAGGGGGTTGCCAGGAGTTCATTATTTTCATATTTTAAAGCCCTGAATAGTTTGAAAGGATGATTGCCAGAGGGGACCAGGAAAATTAGTGGTTGTTTGATTCAGGATCAATTTTCAAATCTGCCCAGTTTATAATTGTGCGCCTCTTGCTGTCATCACTCATGTGATTCAGGCTCCAGATGTTCAGGGTTGAAATGTCCCCAGGGCTCACCACCTCCTTGGTATGCCTCCGAGCATTTCTGTCTTCCCCCACCAAACAATTTTCCCCTGGACTTGTTTATGGATATCTGAAATGCCTGCATTGGGGCTTAAAAATAAAAGGTGAAAAAGAAACACTTAAATCACAGGGCTCAGGCTTAATGTGTATCATCTTTGCAAGAAGTGGCATTGATTAAATGCCAGGGCCAGGATCCTGCTCTTTTCCAAGACCAAATTTTTGTGAGGACAGAGTTCTGAGATTTCTGGGAATGAGGAAGATATAGGCATGAAGAGGGAGTTGGGGGGGCACAGAAGACAAATTTGGATAACTTGACATTTTGGTTAGGACTCACCTTAGTTGCCTGGTGTTTGGTGTTTATCATTTCTGACTTTAAGGATAATGGGGGAACTTCAGAACTGGAAAAGATCTTTAAGATTTTTTGGCACAGGGCGCCTGGGTGGCTCAGTCATTGGGTGTCTGCCTTCAGCTCGGGTCATGGTCCCAGGGTCCTGGGATGGAGCCCTGCTTCGGGCTCCCTGCTCAGCGGGAAGTCTGCTTCTCCCTCTTCCTCTCCCCCTGCTTGTGTTCCCTCTCTCGCTGTTTTTCTCTGTCAAGTAAATAAATAAATTTTTTTTTTTTTTAAAAAGATCATGTGGCACAGCCTTACTCAAACTGGGTTCAGCAGGCTCCTGGGATCTACAAACATATTCTTAGTCTACAAGCTTTTTACGAGATTTAGAATTTTGTCCTCTCACTTTAATGGTGATATAAATATATTTTCAGAATATTCAGAGCATCTGAATACAGATCTGGAGCTATGTGATCTTAAGACAGTGTTTATGGGGTTTTTTTGGCGGGGGGAACCACCCAAAGGGAACTTGTACTTGGCCTTGTCCATGCGGGAGCAAGTTGGCAGGTCCTAATACTACAGTGACAGCTACCAACTTGCGTTCTCTGTATACTCACACTGTATTCTTTACCAGTAATAAATACAAGACTTATTTGCCAAAGATAATTTACAATTAAAAGACACTTTCATAGACTATGATTTTTCCCTAAAGTTTTTTTTAATAAATTAAGACTTTGATTTGACATCATGGAAATGATATACTATAACAGATGGCTAATGAAAAAGAACAGAGTCAGGTTTAATAGATGAATTATGCATTTCATAAAGTTAGGATGAAATACTATCATGGCATACTGTATGAATGAAAGTTTCCAGTAATTTTAAAAGAGGAAAGTGATATGAGAACTTGGTCATCACATAACACACAGAAATATAAACATATCAAACCCCAAAGTAACTAGGTTGTAGCCTTCAGCACCTTATTCACGTTGGGGATAACAATTTAGTTTCTGCCAAACAACATTACTTATTATCTTAAATTAATGACTTTTATTTTCTTTTGAATTGTGTTTCTATTTACTTCGTGAATATGACTTTATAGTTACTTAATACTTAATAAGAAGTTATACCTAATCTTATATTTGTGTAAAACATAATAAAAATATGTTAAGTCAACACTGTGTTTGCAAATTTTTTCCCCATGAGAAGGAGTCTGAATATAACTTACCCTCAAATAACACTAATCTGGTCCTTCGCTCTCATTTAAAGAAATGATCCTTCAGTGTTATGGGTTGTGTCTTACTGTTGGAGCCCCCACAGTCTTTCCAAAGAAAACTCAACCCTCTTGTCCACCTATTTATAGATTATTCTATATTCTGCCTAGTGTAATTACTCTTTCTCTATTCCTACATTTGCTTCTTTCATTCCCCAGATTCCCTCAGTGTTCCTATATCAACCATAGCAAACTTCTGTTCATGTTTCAAGGCCAGCTCATAGAAGGCTGTCTCTTCTGTGAAGCTGTTTTTTCTAATACCATCAAGCAATTCTCCAATTCTCAGTGGACACTGGGTGTCCCACAAATTTCACCCAATTCTCACACTACCTACCTCAAGATAGTGTCAGATCCCACAGGTTAAGGGCTCAGTCCCAAAAAACTGCTCCCACTTTAGATGCCAATTACAAGTCCAGGTTATCACCTGACCGACTGGCTATAAATCAGAGGTTTCCATGATCCCCTTCTCAGGCTTAATTAATTTGCTACAGTGGTTCAGAGAACTCAGGAAACCAGTTTATTTACTAGGTTACTGGTTTATTACAAAGGATACTAAAGGATATGAATCAACCAGACAAAGAGATACATAGGGTGGGGTCTGGAAGAGTCCCCAACACAGGAGTTTCTATCCCCGTGGACTTTGGGGAATGCCACTCTCCCAGTGCATTGATATGTTCTGATTCACCAACCTGGAAGCTCTCTAAACCCGTCCTTTTGTTTTTTTGTTTTTTGTTTTTTAATGAAGATTTCATTACACAAGCATGATTGATTAAACCTTCAGCAATTGGAGACTGAACTCAACCTCCACCCATCTCCCCTCTTTGGAGGTTAGGGATGGGGCTGAAATTTCCAACTCTTTAATCATAATTCCACTGGCAACCAACCCCATCCTTAGTGGCTTTCCCAAAGTCACCTCATTAACATAAACTCAAGTATGGTTCAAAGAGGTTTGTTATAAATAACAAGACACTCCTTTCACCTTTATGGCTCTGGAACTATTTCAGGAACCAAGGACAAAAGGAATCACTACAACAGAAGATGCTCCCATTGCTCTTATCGCTTATGAAATTCCAAGGGTTTTAGGAGCTCTGACTCAGAAACTGGACAAAGACCAAATATATATTTCTTACTATAAATCACAATATCACAGAAGCCTTCCTTTTTTTTTTCTAGTGTGGTGAATGCCTCTCTCTGTTTCCTACAGCTTGCAGTTTCTATGTCTCATGCACCACTCTCCATGGGACATTGAACATATCTACTTACTCCCCAAACTTCCGATTTGAACTTCTCAAAGGTATGGACATAGCCTTACTCATCCACTATTCTAGTCTGTGGCTCATTGTATATTCTTAATAAAAATCTATTAATAAGTTAGTTCTCTCTATATTAAAACAATACATCCTAATGAAACTGACCATCACATCATGAGGCATAGCCTCTGATGCTACCCTTGTAAGATTTTCAGGAGACATTAAGCCACCAGATTTATTTTTACCAGATTAGAGCATGAGAGGAATAAAACAGAAACAGAGGAAAAGTTTGCAAGCAAGACTTTATTAAAATCCCTGGAATTTATATGCAGAAGTGGGCAGGAGGCTGTCTCTAGGGTCAGCTTTTGACCTTCCTATTTATGTTTGAGGAAGAAGGGTTGGAAGTTAACTCTTATTTGAATCTGGCCTTGTGATTGGTTGCAAATGGAAAGACTTCTCTCTGCAGGAAATGATGCCATCACATTGAGAAGCTGTTTTTTGGACTGGCAAATGGAAAAATATTCTTAATGAAAACACAGAATAATCACTCTGAGTGTGGGGAAGAAGCACTGGGAGGAAAAAGGAGAAAGAATACATATTAAATAGATGTACCTACCAGCATACTGATGAGGAAAGGGATTTAGAGGTTATTGTAGGGGAAAAAAAACCCTCTTCATGTTATTATCCTAATGCTTTTCTGTAGCTTAAAAAGTGAATATACAGAATGTATCACAAGTGGAAAGAAATTGCTAATCAGTGGTCTCTAAAATAGAGGTATGATGGTCACTTTCTAGAGCTATGATGGAGTCCAGTGTTCTGGTGTGTCAAACAGTCCAACCCCTAAATTCACTTTTACATGTCAGACTACTTGTCCAAAGCTTTGTTTAGAAAATATGGCCACCAAATTATCAGACATATATTATAATCACCATAGCGGCTCATATTTACTAAGTCCTGACATATGTTCTAAACACTTTATATGTATTAGCTCATTTTCCCCATTTTACTCAGGAAATGGAGTCACCAAGCAGGTAAGAAATTTGGACAAGGTCACATAGCTAGTGAGTCACTCAGCCTAACTTCAGAGCCCCAGGTGCCTAGCATTATGACATTCTGCCTTCATAGTGGAGAAACATGGCTTTGGAATCAGACCAGTCTCTATGCAAATCCTGACCATTGGCCCTTGGCACAAGACAAGTTATTTAATGTTTATCAGCCTCCATTTTATCCTATGGAAAATGGGAATAATAATATTTAACTCACAGGGTTTTGTGTGGATTAACTAAGCTAATATACATGAAGTTCTTGGTATAGTACAAAGTAGATAATTTCCCCACACCTACATTATCCCTGCTTTAGGAATATTTAAAATACAGAGCCTTAAGGTTTTTAGAATGAGACATGATGTATAAGTCTGGCTTTATGGGCTTGTGTTACCGAGAATGTATATCCCATCATGTTGAGGTCCCATTGACGTCATGGACAGGTACATGAGGATACTCAGAATCAGAGACTGATGAGATTGTTCCTCTGTCCTTGTATGTTCTCTTCCAGGGGGATATGGCTTAGGAAAATGAGGGAAATGAGACTTAAAATTAAATTGCTTCCACTAGTCCTGTATGCTCTCTGCAAACAGAGTAAAATACCTCCATACATACACAAATGTAACTATCATGGGATTGGTGATTAGCTCATATCATTTGTCCAGCTCATGTCTCAAATGGAGCTGAAGTTCTGATCTTCTTAGGGGAAGATATAGATGGACGATATGGAAGCAGGGGATGAGGCAGCCCTGGAAACAATAAACAACCTCACGTTGGGGGTGGAGTGTGGGTAATCACATCCTCAGTGTTCTCCCAGCCCAAACCACTCATGTTGTTCAATGAAACAGATCCTAATTAACTGGAAATTCTTGGAATTTCCTTTCTACTGTCCTAAAAATGCCAGTCAATAGACCCAGAGTTGTCTCCATCAGTATTTAAGCCAGAGTGAAGAACTACCATCAGGTGGCACCAAACCACAGCAGGGCACAGAAAGGATTCAGATTATATAGCCTGACCCCTGGAATACCCCAGAATTTCAAGCTGGTCACGTGTGCCAAGTCTACCTGGTCATTTCGTTAACCTTGAACAAATGAGAGATGACACTTTGCACAACTGAAGTTTTTGGGCATCACATACCATGCTACTGTGAGTTTTATAACATATGCCAAATATCTACTATTTGGGGACATATGTTAAGTGCTTGGGATTCAGAAACAAAAATACAGCCCCAGCTTCTAGGAGTTCATGGTTCAGTGTGGAGATAGTCAAATAAACAAGCAATTACACCATGGTGTGACAAGTGCTACCCAAGTGGAAAGCAAGAAATGCTTTGGGACTGCAGGGGAGACACAGGAGGGACATCTGAACCATTTTCTTGAGGGAGAACAGGAGGATGGGAAGAGCATTCCAGGCAGAGGGAGCAGCTTGTACACCAACCTAAAGGACTCATGGTTTTTTCCTGGAAGTGAAGAAGAAGAACGTTGAGAATGAGAGATGAGTCATGAAGGACCCAAATGCTATGATAAGGAGCTTGAACTTTGTGCTGTATATTAATAATTCTTAGTCGTTTCTGGGATGCAGACAATAATGGAAGTTATGGTCTTTTTTCTTTGGGTAAAAAGGTACAGTGACATACACACATACACATACTTTTACATTCAACTTCAGGGACAGTTGTAGGCACTCTGCCACCCATTATTTATGGACTCTTGGTTGACACCCCCCTTAGAAGTAGTAGAGGTCAGTAGAAATCGGATTTTAGGTTGAACGAGAATGTGTCCATCAAATGACTGGCTACATAACCACCGAAACGGGAACCCAGATGATGGATTGGAAGAAGAATAGCCTGAAAATGAGGAAGACAGGACTGCAGTTGGGAGCCTGTTGTCAAGGTTTAGACAAAACAATGGTTTTGTTCAATCTCCTCCATCTCCAGAACTTTTGTTGGGTGATGGATAAGATGCAAAACACCATCATCGGACTCAGCATTTTCTGCCCCACCCCATTTTTCTGAGAAAGCGTTCAGTTGGGAGGAAGGCAAGGGGAGAGTAAAAAGAGAAGCTGTAATCTATAGGTGATACCACCAGCTCCTAAGTTATAGATTGCCTAGATTGGCACCTTGGAAGTTCATCTCTGAGAACATGCTCCTGGAGCATGTTGTCTGCTTCTAACAACCACAGTGGTATCTCAGTAGGAGATGAGGGAGTCCTAGGTGACAGGATGTTATTGGTTCTTCTGTGTACTGGGGAGAGGGGCAGGCACACAGAGAGGGAAAAGTGCATTCCTTTAGCAGTGAAATAGGGATGTAGGGATCTGAACTTAATCCTGACTCTTCCTGTGAGAGCCTGGGAAAGTGTCTCTGTACTCCTCTTCCTTCATCTAAGGGAGTAACAATAAAAGTGCTAACATATGCTGGAGGAGTAACAAGGAGGAGAGATTACAAAGCACTTTGTAAATTCTGCAGGAAGGTGATACAACACTGGTGGATGGGCATGTTCACTGGAAGAAATAGCAGTATTATAGCTAGCCTTGTTTTCTGACAGACTTTTGATTTCGCCCATCAGTGAAGGCCTTCCCAGAAGTAAGGGAGCCTTTCTTGTTGCCTTCTCCAACTGTGTTGCCATGTGACAGCAATATGGCGGAAATCCCAGAAGGGAAAGTGCCATGAAGCTGTGGGAAGTTTGGAGGGTTGAGCCAGCCTCACTACCTCTCTGAAATAGCTGCCTGGGGAAGCCAGGACTGGCTCCACCATACATGGTTTGGTTTTTTGTTTGTTTGTTTAAGTTTGGGTTTAATTGAATTTCATTGAAGCCAAGAGAGCCCTATAGCACTTGCTATCCCCCATAACGTGGGCACTATGTGCTCAGAATGGTTTGGCTTCCTTGAAGTCATGTTGTGGCAGACTGATAACACCCATCCATCCACTTCCATGCCTGCTGCTTTTTCCGTAGGACCATCCTCACACCTGAAGAATGTGGGAATGATGAGCCCTGCTGGAATCGAAACCAATCTACCATTCCCTTCAGACTCCCAATGCTTGTGCCACAGTGTGATGCCTTCTTGGGCTTGAGGTTGTTTTTCTTTTTTTTTCAAGAGTCGGGTTTTGGCACCATTTCTGTCGGTTGCGCTGGAACATGAGAGTAGCTACAGGTAACAGATTATTTTTAATTCTGCCTTGTTATTTGGAACTGATTTCCCATATGTTGTTGTTGTTCAATTCCTTGCATGAATTTTCTCAAATATTTGTAACATATGTCATATCTATATGCAGATTTTAAATTATGGATGCCTTTATCCAATCATTTTCGAAGGAGGAAAAAACCAAGTCTAATACTCTCAAGCAGGACCACAGTCTCCTGGGCATCAGTTATCGTTCAGGTAGACACATCTGGTGAAATGCATCACATCAAATTAGTACCAAGGGTATTGAGACTCTGAGACTACAGGCAGACAACCCCCTTCTAATGTACTGCTTTTTAGATTGTTGGGGAAACTTGAATCCCAATTCTCTTGTGAAATGAGTGATACTAACATGCCTGTTCAAATGCTCAAAGTGAAGATCAAAGCAGCAGTGTCCAAATTGCCTTTGCAAACAAAGCAGCCCCTTGCATCCCCCCTGGGGATCCCGTGCTAATTTTATCTACTCTCCCTGGCTCTTCTGCTATTAAATAGCAATAAATAAATGTTTTTTTTCTGGGTTTGCCAGTGGCTTATTTGTCTGACAAACAAGCTCATTTCCTTTTAAGTGTGAGGTTTTAGTCCAACTAATAGAATTAATCTATTTTTAATGAAAATGCGAATGGCTTTTACTTAGAAATCTACCTACCCATCTCCCTCTTGGCAAGAGGACCCTCCCCCAGCGTCTTCTCTGAACACATACAACCAGCCATGAATATTTCAATACATCTCAGGCTTTCAGATCAATATAGGCAACTCTCAAGCCCTATTGATTTTCAGAGGTTTGACTCGCCAGGGTGATAAATATTTCTCGACTTATGAAACCTGAGTTAAAGAGGCTTTGCTGGCCCTTCAACTTTTCCCGACATCTTTGTCTCCTTTTCTGTCCTCTTCCCATATCCCTTC